CTGGGATGGAAGAAACGGGGCTGGGGGAGAACAGAGGGGTGATTGAGGACAAAGGATCTGGGGGAGTCCGGGGCCTCACTGGTGCCAGGACAGCGCTGACGTGTGGGTCTGCAGGAGCCCGATGGTGACGGGCACTTCGGTGCTGGGAGTGAAGTTCGACGGGGGGGTGATCATCGCTGCAGACATGATGGGCTCCTACGGCTCCCTCGCCCGCTTCCGCAGCATCTCCAGGCTCCCGAAGGTGAACGACACCACCATGCTGGGGGCATCCGGCGACTACGCCGACTTCCAGTACCTCAAGCAGATCATCGACCAGATGGTGTAAGTTCTCCTGTCCTGGGCTGCCACACCTGCAGCCCTTGTGGCCCTGGTCAGGCTGGGCAAGCCATGACCACGCTGTGGTTTGTGCTGCGCTGCTCTCTTCTTCCCAGTCCTCAAAGGACTGAAATGTAATTAAACGTGTTCACGGAGCAGGGATAAAACTGAGCTGAAATCCCCCTTGTCCTTTGACAGTCCCTTTGGTACAAACATCTTGTCCAAATTCTGTGCTGAGCACTGTGGAGAACCAGTTTCAGTTATTCTCTGTGGCCTTTGGCTGGTTCACCTCTTGTAAGGTCTTGTTTGGAAAGAGCCTGCGGGGACTTTGTGGAGGGTACTCTGGTGGTGCAGGTGGAGGTGGGCTGCTGCTCTCTTCTCTGGGTGGTTTCCAGCTTTTCTTAGTTGGGTGAAAATTCTACCTAAATTAGAATCGATGAGGAGCTGTTGGGAGATGGTCACAGTTACAGCCCGAAAGCCATTCATTCCTGGCTGACGAGAGTCATGTACAACCGGAGGTCCAAGATAAATCCACTCTGGAACACCGTTGTCATCGGAGGCTACTACAATGGCGAGAGGTGAGTGAGGATGAGTGACGTGGAACGTGTGACGGTTGCTGCGCGTCCTTCTGCGAGGCCGCTTCTTGTGGCACGGGATTCAGAGAGGGCTCTGGCTGGGTGCAGCCACTCAAAAGCCGAGTCCCTCCCCGACGCAGCCCTGCCTGTGCGGCCGCCACACTCACAGATCTGTCCCTTCAGCTTCCTAGGTTACGTGGACATGCTCGGCGTGGCCTACGAAGCCCCTACACTTGCTACGGGTTATGGAGCGTACCTAGCTCAGGTAGAGTATGCTCTTGCTCAGCTGCTAAAGCGACCTTAGCCCTGCGTGACTGAGCTGTCGAGCTATTGGGTTTTATTTTTCTTCCCTAGCCATTGATGAGAGAAGTCTTGGAGAAGAAGTCCAGCCTGACGAAGGAGGAGGCCCGTGACTTGATTGAGCGTTGCATGAAAATTTTGTATTACAGAGATGCTCGATCGTTTAACAGGGTAAGTGCACAGCTTTGGCTTGCCCTGACCGGAGAGCCCGGCGTGCCTGCTGTGTGCCTCAGGCTGATGGTCTGGCCTTTGCCCTGGGTTGTCTTCTGTCTCTGATCTCGGGAAACCTTGCAGCAAGTCCTGAGTTGCCAGAGGTGGGGCGTATTAAGAGAGCCTGTTAGCAAAGCTGTCCTCCAGAGCCAGTCTCCCCTTGTGTCCTGCAGCCTCCAAAGAGCTGTTTGGGTCCAAGTGATGCTCATCCCTGGTGTATTCTCAGATCGGATGATACTTCTCCCGCCACTGCTGTTGTAGCATCCAGAGGCTGCAGTCTTTTAGATTTGGAAGTGTTTCTGTCTCCTCCTACAATCAACTATCTCGATTTGCCCACCAAGGAAAAAGTGAAATGTTACTGAATGCAAAGGCATGCTAAACCAAATTTGTTTAAAGGACAGCTGTTATCACTGACTTACTGATCCGAGCTTTCACAGGGCCCATCTTAAATTCAGGTATGAGATTCAGGCTTTCTTGAGAACTTTCAATGTTTTCTCTCCTCAGTATGAAGTAGCTATTGCAACGGAGAAAGGCGTGGAGGTGGAAGGACCCCTGACGCTGGAAGCCAACTGGGACATAGCACACCTTGTCAGGTAACGCCCGCCACATTATACACGCTTTGAGCTCTTAGTCTGCGAGTTGGCAGTCTGGCAGGTCCTGAAGGCACAAAATAAAGGGGTTAACGAAGGCTGGGTAACGCGCAGCCATTGCAGGGTAATGTCCCTGCCACACGCTTCAGTAGGAGTCTCCTCAGTCCCCGCTGCAACCAAATTCTTTGTGCTCCGCAAGGCAGCTTTGGGGTCCGCTCTCTGCCTGGCCGCTTTCCCCTTTACAGCCAAGCCCTGAAGGCATTGGTGCAAGTTCCTTCAGGAACAGGAAAGCTTTTTGTGGATGTGCCATCTGCTTTGTTGCCTTGGTGCTTTCTCACGACACATGTTGCTGACAGGCAGCACCTGATAAAAGCGAAAATTATGATTTCTGTTAGTGCAGATGTTGACTCCGTCCAGGTTGCGTAGTATCCTGACTTTCTAAAAACATCTTCTTGCAGTGGCTTTGAATGATCTCCGAAGAGCTGCTCGAGGCTGTTGTGTCCATGTTCCCACCCTTTATGTACGCTGTAAATCCGTTACTGCTTTTGAAACTCTGATGTGACTTGTTTTGGAAATGAAATAAAACCTGTTAAGACAAGGCTGTGTGTTTGTGCTACTGTTGGGATTGAGGTTGTGGGATCCTGACTTCAGAAGTCTCCCGGTTTGGGGTGGTGAAGGTTACCAACAGCTCCCAGTCCTGGTTTTTGCTGGAGAAGGGCAGCAAAAAAAGCCAAACACCACAAAACACCAAAACAAAAAAAAACCCAAGAGAGGCTTTTGTTGTTTTCTTGACTGGGGTTTTCTGGTAGGTACTGTACTCCCTCGGACATGCAAATACACCGTCCTCCTCCCGTATCTGACCTGGCAGTTCCTTCATCAGATGGGGATCGAGTGTGTGTGTGGGAACTGGGTCAAGGTGCTCCCTAACTACCTGTAATTAGCACCCAAGGTCTCCTCTCTGCTGGAGACGACCGCAAAACTTGCTTTCTCCACGTCCCATTTTAGTGAAGGTTTCCGAGTTGCAGGGTGGTCCTGCTGTCCAAGACAGCTCTGGAGCAGCAGCTGGAAGGGTTTTACTGTGGGGCTCCAGGATGAGCACTGGCTGTGGTCGGTACCCGTTTGCTAAATCTGAAGTTAAACACACAAGTCCCTTTAAGATTTGCTCTAACAAAAGACAAACCTCCTGTGCCGTGACATCTGTAACTGGGAGCACACCGTAATCCCGTGGGGCGTTTCGGTAACCAAGGCTTGCGTGCGGCACAGACCGTGTTTCTCCTCCAAGCGCTTGTAATCCAGACAACCAAGGATGCTGAGGCAGACAGGTAAAAAGCTCCAATCAACCTTTAAAAGCCACCTGTGGACAGGATGAAAACACATCTTTAAAGACGTTTTCTGTTTTTTTTTTTTAAAAAAAAGTATTTGTGAAGAGTATGCTGCCTAACAGAGAAGTGGGATGGGTCTTCCTGCTTCGGTGGAGAGTGATGGGTCTCCTGGGCATCAGGAACAGGAATACCATGGTGCTTCCTCAGTCTGTCGGACTGGAACAGGGGCCGGCACAGACCCAGAACAGCTCTGCCAGGCTCGGGATGGGCTGGGCAAGGAGCAGGTGAAACCAGGAGGGTAAATGGCATTTCCAGACCGAGAGTTCAAGTGTGTCCAGCTGTCAGTTCCTGTGCCGCTCACACATGTTGGATCCTCCAGCCCCCGCATCCTCACAAACGGCGATGCTGGGCTTCTCCTGCAGCTCTTGGTGCCTGTGAAATGCTCCGGTTGAAAGCAGAGAGAGGAAAAACAAAAGGGGTGGTTGATTAAATTGCTTTAGTGTTTTCTCCAATAACTGAGATTAAAATAATTAACATCTCCCCACTTAAATTCCTATCGCTCAGCCTACTGACAGCAGCTATGCTGGGATACCAGGGCTCCGGCGCTTGAAGCCGATCGCCCTACAGCTCCTGCGAGCAGCTGGAGATGCTGCGCCTCCGGCTACGGGAGGATAGCAGCAAAATGGCATTACGTGTGCTTCAGACGGGGCCGAATCAGGCGTTTCCTAGCCTTACCAGAAATAAATTCGTAAGTAGTATTAAGAGTGGTATTTACTACTACCCGAGATAAACAACAGTAAAATTATTTATTCAGGAGAGTATTTTATTATTGATTTCTCAGACTTTTTAAAAAAAGAAAACCTCCTTGGGGAGAGTAGGTTGTTTTCCACTGAACCTACCGTATAATTAAAGGGCAGGTAAGGGCTGCAGAAATGTAAATGGGACAGAACTCTGCCTCAAGTGTTAATGACATGTAAACACATTTAATTACTATCCCATCTCTGGGTTTCTTCAGAACATGCTAAACGGCTCCGCGTCCCCTCACACGCAAGGAGTACAGAGAGGGAACCCAGCCGGCGACCCGGGCACAGCTCGCTCATGCGCGGCACGGAGGAATTTGGGGCACACTTTATATTAAGCATTACGATATCACAGGAGTTAAATAGTTCTTCATAATAAAAACACATGTTTATAAATCCATTTCCCTGGTTTTATTAAATGTTCCACTTATGTACATTTTAAAGATGAACCATTTACAGGTCTGCACATGCTGCCTCCTGCTTTCCTTAGGTAATAGGGAAGGTTCACAAAACCTCTATGGAAACAGAAAGGTGCAGGTGCTTCTGAATTCTGTATGTCAAAATGCTTTCCGTTTATACCATAATACATACAATTAAAAAACCCTCAAACATGCAAATTGTAGAAAAATTTAAGCTGGCAGTGAAAAATAAAAACAAACGTCTTCTTTTTGTGCACGTCACAGTTTGTTTCATTAAATCAGATTTCTAATTCTAAGGAACGTAGTGTCTGATGCCACTGGTTAAAGCAGGTTTATCAACTACTAGTAGTTAAAAGGTCAACGTTTAATGGTCCGTACAGTTTTAACTCCCATCTACCGTACAGGAAGATCAAGACAGACTTGACTTTCCTCTTCCACCATGTACCCTCTGTCAGTAATTCTTTGGAGCAAGGTGGGTGCCGGGCGGTTTCCCAGGTGGAGGAGAGGAACCACCGCACCGTGGCAGAAAGTCAATGGGAAACCGAGAGGTTTGGGTCAGCACTGCCCTAACTCCCTGGCTGCGGAGCGCAGTTCAACCCCGGTTCCAAGTGTTGTGGCTCCCAAGAAGCGTTGCTGGCATTGAACAGGCAAAATGCTTTCACTTGTGTTTTTACCCCACATCCAAATTCACAAGCAAAAATAATTACTCTTCCTTAAAAAAACAAAAAACAAAAAAAACAAACAAACAAAAAAAGAAACCAAACCAAACCCAAATCTTAATGGCCAATTATAGAAGGTTCACACATTAGAGCAGTAACTCGTATCTAAATTTTCCACAGAAACCTAAATCTCTGGGTCAAGTGTTAAAAAAAGAAAAAAAAAAAAAAAATCTGTGTTAAGACAGCCAAAAAGATTTATATACTGGTTCATTAGCTACATATTTTTTTCCTTTCTTTAGAAATGGTCACATTGACAATGTATAATTCAAAACATTTCTGCACAATAAAAACAGAAAACTATGATACAGTGAGGTAAAGAAAACGCAAAAATATTCACCCACAATATATTTTCAGAAAATACCAACACAGTGATTTTTCTTTTAAAAAAGCACAAAACTTATAAATGAACAGCATAAATGGCTATTTATCTGAGTGATCGCCTACGAATTTCCTAAACCCACAAATCCACAGGGAAGTGTAATGGTCTCATCCAACATTTATTTAAAAAATAACCCTTTCCAGATCACGATTCGCAGAGCAGCGCTCAGATTTCCATCAGATCCAAATCAGCATCTTCGAAGCCATAAAACGACTCAGTCTCGCTTTCCCCTTCGAAGAGCTGATGGAGGATTTCTGGGTCTGCAGATTCCTCGGCCTGGGTCCGATCCTGCACCTCAGCCACCGCCGCCGCCTCCTGCTGCTCATCGTTCAGCTTCAGCTGCTCCTCCAGAGAGGCAATCAGCTCCTCCTGCATGTCGGCGTTGCGTGTGGGCGAGTTGGCCGTGCCGTCCGGACCGGGCAGCACGCTGGCCACCAGGAAGGACTGCTGCACAAGTTCAGGAGAGTCACTAATGACCTCCAGGACCTCCGCCAGCCAGCATAAAACCAGCTGGAGAAGAATGTCTGAGTCGCATGTGGAGTCCGCCATTTCCTTGGCTTGCTCTTTCCACTTTTTATGCAAGAAATTTTTCACAGTCCTTTTTATACAAACATCTAGAGGTTGGATTTTGGAGCTGCAGCCAGCAGGGACAACAGCCGGCAGAGTGCTGGATGCACTCAGCAAGGAAAGTACTTCTTCCGATAGGTGTGTTCGGTGACAATCCAGCACGAGCATGCCCTTGCTGTTCTGGCATGCCGTGTGCTTCTGCCACACTCTGGACGACCACAACTCCATGACTTCGTCGTCGCTGTATCCGTTCTCCTTTGCTTCCAATATGATAGACTCCGGCACGTTGGCAGGCTGCTGTACGTGACCCCTGTAGAAGACTAGCGCTGGGAGAACGCTGCCGTCGGCGAGGATGGTGAGGACAACGTCACACCATGGCTCCCCGGTTCCCACCGTCTGCAAAGCGTTCTCCTTCCGGTCATCGCTGCTCAGCACCTCCATGTCAAGGAAGAGAGAGATTTCGTCGATGGCCGCGATCATGGAGAGAGGCAGGTCTTGAGTGTGGATTTGCCGCTGCACAAACTCGATGAAACAACTGGCGTTGTCCTCTACGTCTTTGGGGAGAGGGTGAGCCACTGCCCTTCGAGTATGCGTGCTGAGGTTGTGCCGCAGCATGAACCTCACCGCCCACTCGTAGGAGATCTTGAAGCCACCTTCGAGGGATCGGCCAATCTTAGTGGCTTTCTGGAAGAGAGTCTCCTCGTTCACGGGCAGCTGCTGCTCCCTCTGCGTCAGGACCCATTCCGCCAGTTTCTCTTCAGCCTCTAAGCTGAGGTACTTGCCCTCTGACAGGGACGCCAA